AAATTTGAGAAACCATAAATCCACAAATCTGAAAACTTGCAGATTCCAAAGACAAGTACAAACATAAATCATCTTCGCGAAAGATTTACCCAAATATCCATTCAAGATCCTACTAATCCTACCATCAGCATCTCTTACAAAGAGGACGAGTCACGCTTCGATAACTTGCAAATATCTCGCATTATAAACCGAATACAAAAATACGATTCCATCGTTCCTTACAATTTCAAAGATCATCAAAAATCTGACATATCCGGACGAATCACAAATTCCAACACCTACAGCCCTATAATCTTCAAATCCTGAAGCTACCTTTACAATTTCCAATAATCCACGACAATGATAGAAGCAAGCTAATGGTAGAGGACGAGTCACGATTAAATTTTTTTCACCATTTTCTTTTATTTAACATCATAGAAAAATACGATCCAATCGTTCCTTGGAATTTCTAAGATCCATCAAAAAATGAAATTCTTTTTTTTATCCAGACAAATCACCAATTCACGATACGATCTATGCGTTTACCAGTCACTACAATTATACACGAGTATCTTTTGTTTTCTTTCACGTACAAGAACGCGTACAATGTACACTACGCTACATATGTACATTACCACGTTCCGGAAGTTCGATTATATACTAAACGACTGTACACGCTTGAGACTGACAAAAGGTTGATCGTTCCATTTTCATCTCCTCGGGAAAATATACGAAACGACAGGAATTGCACGTGTTCTCTTGTCACTCGATGTTGTTACGATCGTTGTACAAAAATCGTTGTATCAGGCGCAATAATAACAAACGATAAATCATTAAAAATCATGATTACGATATAATTAACAACAACGATAAGGTGAAGTGAAAGATAAATTAAGTACACCAATAATAAAACGGTGACAATAAATTACGAGGCTACGCTAATAATAATAATACTGATAACAAGTCAAAGGAAATAAATTAGATTGAACAATAAAAGATCTTCGAGTTTCTTCGAGTAGTTTGTGGATTATGTTTATTGTTACGATTTTGCATTGGTGATTAATATCGATATTATCGATATTGCTTTTGTTAAAGGATAATTTAAATATTAAGTAATTTTAGATATTAAATAAATATGGATCAATGTTGGTTTTGGAGTCAATGTTGATTTATTGCTTATTGAAGAGGTCGATCAGTATGTTTAATTTTTCTCATAATTCTTTTTTGCAGGTCTCAACACTTTAGTGTTACTTTAATACAATTTTTTATTAATTTAGATAGTAGTCAATTCTTCTGATGTTTTTAATATTTCAATTTTACTGATTGATCATTTTAATTTTTCAATATTTCTATGTTATCGTTTGATGTTTCTAATATTTCTATTTCACCATTCAATTAGTGCAATATTTTAATGTCATTCTATATTTTTAATATTTTTATTTTATCATTTGACATATTCAATTCCTCGATACATTAAATATTTCCAATATTTTAATTCTATTTGATAATTGCAATATTTTAACATTGCTACCATTGGATACTTTCTATGTTTCATATTACTTGAATATTTATTATGTTTCATTAAGTACTTGAATATTTCTAAATGAATAAATAAATAAATAAATAAATCTCCCATGCAAAATCGCAACAACAAACCCCCAAATCCCAAAAATCAAGAACCACGTTCCCTGAACGTCTCCGCCATCTTTGCTATCCTTACATCCTCCGTAAATCCATTAATTAATTATTTAGTATTGCTTAGGACTTTATTGCTCTACGTTCGTATGTATTTACGTACGCGAGAATCGCAATTGCACGCACGGCACACAACTCACGAAACCTCTTTTTCAAGGGACAAAAACTAGAAAAGCTTTTTTTCGAGTTCGATCAACCAGAAAATTCCTACTAATCTGATCCATCGAACTAACCAGGCAAAAACAACAAATGTGTTCCTTTTTTCTCCGTGTGCTTCGGTTTCTCTTTTTTTTTTCACTTTTTTCTTTTTTTTTTATTTAGTCATCTTTGCTTCGTTACTTTGGCGGTGAGAGGTCGGCTACTCTGTACATGCAACGCGGTAATTATTTGTCGGCAATAATTATTACAAAAGGACTCGGATCGTCGAGCCAATTCTGGCACCGATCCACGCTCTTCTTTGTTCTGTCGCGATTTCTTTGCCTTTTTTCAACAATAATTTGGCCTAGTGTAATCGCTCTCTTTGATAAGCAACGTCGAATTGAGGAAAATGCTCGAATTTCTAGGCTGAATTCCCCTGTCTCTCTTTCTCTAATCGTTGTACTTGGAAGAACAATGTTTAACTAATGTTCGATGTTCGATTGCGTTGACGGTCATCGAGATTCGATGTATATTCGATTGGACACATTGTCCGTCGTTGTTTGTTCTCTAAAATACTTTTAACACGTTGAGATAAACATTGTAATATTTCGTATATTCCCCAATAAAAATATGTCAAACTTTGGTTATCAAATCTTTATTTACTTCTTTGAGGTTATGTTAAACTGATGTTAAACTTGTATACGAAATTTTTATTTACTTCTTTGAGGTTATGTTTAACTTTGATGTTAAAATTGTATGAAATTTTTATTCGCTTCTTTAAAGTTATGTTAAACTTTCATGTTAAACTTGTATGAAATTTTTATTTACTTCTTTGAGGTTATGTTTAACTTCAATGTTGAACTTCTATGAAATTTTTATTTACTTCTTTGAGGTTATGTTTAACTTTGCTGTTAAACTTGTACGAAATATTTATTTACTTCTTTGAGGTTATATTTAACTTTGCTGTTAAAATTGTACGAAATTTTTATTTACTTTTTTGAGATTATGTTTAACTTTGCTGTTAAACTTGTACGAAATTTTTATTTACTTCTTTGAGGTTATGTTTAACTTTGCTGTTAAACTTGTACGAAATATTTATTTACTTCTTTGAGGTTATGTTTAACTTCGATGTTGAACTTCTATGAAAATTGTAACCTCTTCTTTGAGGTTATGTTAAACTTCAATGTTCTTTGAGGTTATGAAACTACAGCATTGTTTGAAAGAATTATAATTGAATTTTGTTGAATCATCAACGTGTTAAAGATTACATTTGATAATAAGATTGAATGTTGCTTCGAAAGCAAAGTCCTTAAACGTACCATCAACTTCCAGCACGAATAGCAAACGAACGAATAATCCCTATAATATTCAGTCATTAATAGCTAATATCAAAGTGGCACTACTAGACAACTAAATTCTTAAGAATGTAAATTTGGTGTTATGAAAAAGGCGAATCATTGAGTCACTGATTCCTCGATTGCTCCCATTTTGTTAACCAACCTTCTAATACGTATGTACAAATTTTAGGCTCTAAAATAGGAATAGCTTGCTTACCGATACGAAAGAAATTGTTTTTCGTTAAGCGAAGAGAGACAGAAAGAAAGTAGCTCGATTCTTAATTAATATTAACATCGCGAGAGACCGAAGAGCGTGAATGGACGATCGAATAAGTTCGATGCCGAAGCAAATCATCGTTTTTCCATCGCGTTAAACTTCGATGTTCGCCTCTATATATGTATAATTATATAATTCGTTGTGTCGAAACATTGCTTTTGACCGTACGCGTCGTCATTATTACTGGTTTTATTATTTTTTTTATTATTTTCCCTTACTCGTTATATTGCTTCTATAAAATATGTGTATAACAATGTTTACGCATCTATTACTCGAATTTGCTCTAAATATACGTGTGTTCGTGTTTATTTTGCCCTACGTGTTCTGTGTTAGTGTCCGTGTGTAATATATCTTGATTTTCCTTCTCTTTATATTTTGCATTCGATCGTGTAGCATTGCAGAAAGGAAAATGACGATAAAAAAGAAATTCTTCAACGCAACGACCTCCGAGTCCACGCTCTCTATGCTGCGCGTGGACACTCGAGTATTTTCTTATTTACAAAATGTACACTGTGGATCGAAAATAATTTTAACACGATATCTCGTGAATTTTCTTCACAGGAGCCGATCTCGGTTCGCTGAACGAGTATCAATGGCGGCAGTGGGTAAAGGGATGTTCGAGAAGTCACTAGTGACGGTTTCCAAATCCTTAGAGACAAGTTAACTTCGATTTACAATTTCTTCTTCTTTTAAATCATTATGGCAGTCAGTGTGTCATTACAGCTAGACTGAAGATTCACATATGATAGCGTGTATGTTCATACACGTATAAAAGATAAATACATGTTTGACGAACTGATAAATAAAATTATTAAAGCAGTTCGAAAGAACATTTGCACAAAAAGTCTGCAGTATAAATAGAAAATTTGATGTCCCAGAACGTCCTTTACCCATCACCATTAATCGTCGAAGAAACGAAGTGAATTGTTAAACCAAGACGAAGAAATATGCGCATCCTCGGAACGCATAGACCCAGCTTCTCCATCGAGGATATCGATAATCCGTGAATGGACCCCCGGTCGAATATTACGTGGTCCAACGAAGGATCCATCGAAGAGGAACATGCGAAGGGGTTCGATAGTCTGTCGTTCGCGGTCGTCGAACACTTCCGGTAGAAGAGCTGTCGGTCATTGGTGTGCGTACCAGCTAGCGACGATCGTTCTTTGGACACGATTCGATTCTCGCGGGACGTTCACGAGCGTCGATGTGTCTCTTGCGAAAAGGGAAGAATCGAAAACCGGCTGGAAATCACGTAGTCTCTTATCTAAGACGAATGTTAAAATCGTTATTGCATCGAACTCGTTTTGTATCGTGATCCCCTCCCCCCACTTCTTCTCTTTTGTATGTTATGTCTTTGTGTGTGTTTCTTTGTATATTTTCAAGCATCGAAGAGTTTTATTTTTCTTTTTCCTTTAGGCAGCTAAATTATCAATAAATAGTGTCTCCGTAACGAGCTCGCGACTAGAACCGTACGCGCTAGTAAATATACTATATATATATATAATAATAATAATATAATATAATATATAATATATAATAATATAATATCATAATGCATTAGGTATAATCGACTAGAGTGACTAGACTGCAGTGTGGACGTCACCGTTCGACGTTTTTTGTTCTTTGTTCTCGTTTCTCTCGTTTTGTTTCTCCTTTTTTCCCCCGTTTTAAGACTTAACATTATTGGACGTTTTTATTAATGTTAGACATTATTTACGAAACCGACACCTCCTCTACACCCTCCTCTCGTCTCGCATCACTGCTCCCCTGCCTCTTTACGCTACATCTCACGGTTTACTTCTCTATTCCCCAATTCTCTACTGGCACTTTTCTACTTAAAACCTACGGCAAACCTTATGCGTTATCCTCGTCCTCGTGAATTCTGTCAAGGCCCGGCTTTACCCGGGAGTCGCCACGAACGACCGCTAGCTCTCAACCTCTCCAAGGGCGTCCAGACGCCTGATGCTGCCCGTCTTGTCGTCGAAGCGCTGCTACAAACCACGGTTGTTGCTCTGCTGATGTTGCGCCGCGTTGTTGTTTCCAGCCGCCTGTTGCTGCTGTGGCTGCTGCTGCTGCTGTTGCGGAGGCATCTCGTCGTCCCGCAGACAAGCGGACTCCAGGTGTTTGTTCAGGTATGATTTGAGCGCGAACGTCTTGTGGCATCTGGAGCACTCGTAGTTCTTGTCCGCCGAGTGCGTTTGCATGTGGGCGCGAAGATTCGAGCGATCGGCGAACGCTTTGCCGCAATGCGCGCAACCGTAAGGCTTCTCCCCGGTGTGACTTCTTAAATGGCCTTGCAGCAACCAAGGCCTGGAGAACATCTTGCCGCAGACGCCGCAACTGTGAGCCAACTTGTGGGTGAGCACGTGCATCGCCAGCGCCGGCATGCTCACGTACGCCTTGCCGCAGTGAATGCACTTCTTGGCCGATTGAGAATCCAGGCTCCGATGGGTCTGCTTGTGTCGGGACAGATTCGACGACGTGGCGTACTGCTTGCCGCACTCCGTGCACGTGAATTTCGGTCGGTCCGGTTGGGTGGCCTCCTTGTCGGGCACAGCGGCCCCGTTCGTGCTGTTGCCCCGACGCTTAGACCGCCCGTCCGACACGAAGAACGCCTCGTACGTGTACGCGACCGTCTTGCTACTGCCGCTGGTGCTGTTGGATCAACGATCAATTGGTAACTAGGGACTGCTATCCCTTTTGGGTGTCTGGGATTTGCTACCACTCGGGGAGTTTGCACTCGCCTGAGTCGGGGACGACTTGCCTGCGCGGGCAGCCCGTGCACTTTACGACATGATGGTAAGAATGATATAAAGGAACCTAGGGACCTAGAGCTTATATGAAGTCTGGGACTTTGGATGGTTTTGGTGCTATTCTCGAATGGTAGGACATACGTTGTAGAGTTTGAGATATTTTTTATTTTGGACGGTGGCTTTGCAAAGTTTGAATGAAATCGGTAATTTCCTTCAGCCTTCCTTACAACTTAGGAAGAGTCTAGTTTGGAGCCAACGGAGAAGTTAGGGACCAGAAGAAGCTTATGAGGAACTTACACACTAGAGACTGAGGTCTTTCATGGATCTCAAGTCGCGGAGAGGATTGTACATAAAACCAAGGAAACATCCAGGACAAATGGGCTGCCCCAGGTTCCCACGATATCTAAACACCAAACCATACCCCGCCAGCGTCATGCAACACCAAGAAACGACCAATCAACACACCCAACAAGCGATCGTACACATAAGCGAGACACCAAACATCGAGTCACCATTCATCCATCGACCTGCCATTCGATCGTGTGTGTCCCCTGTATCCGCGAAGCCGCGTATGCACACCCATAAGCGTGGTACTCTTTGGATCGATCGCATTTCTATGATACTCACCCGTCCCTGGCAGCGGAGCAGTTATTGGCGTTAACCTCGGCGGTGGCAGGTGACTGAGGTTGCGGCGTCTGTTCCTGTTGTCGCAGCTGGCTGGTCTGCGAGCTGGGCACCGGGACCAGCACCGAGACGGGTATGGGCTGCTGTTGAGCCGGTTGCAGCTGTCCAGCCGCCCCG